CCACAGACACAGCCACACCCTCCCCCCACACCTCACATACCCACAAACCCACAGCCCCCCACAAACGTATACCCTTACAGCTGTCCTTGACAGCTTGCCAAAAATTAGTAAGCAGCCCTCTGCCCACAATAATTGCCTGCCCCTGTGCTAGTTCATGTTTGCCCTCTTTATTTAATTTACTTTGGTTGCAAACTTCACTAGGTGGAATAGAATTCTGCTTCTGACATACTGCAATTTTTTCCCCTAAAAATGATAAAAAAAATCACGAAATTATTTCTTTCTGACTTTTTCTCTATTGTTACATTTTTACATATATTTAATTGATTTAGAATGATAATAACAGTTGTGTAATTATGTACTTTAGACTGAGGAGATAATCTGCTAAAAATACAGGATGAGAAAGGCACAAAAATATGCCATCATAATCTGACAATATTTGGAAAGCATTCACCCACCTTGGAAGAGATTTTCGTTTCTGCTTCTTTCCTACTTATCTTCCGGGATGCTTTTGTTAATTCTCCAAAAAAAAAAAAAAAAGTACAGGAAAAGCCAAATTAAGTCAATTTCTATCACAAGTTGTATTTGTCTCTTATGATAAACAATATATTGTTTTTATGTAGGAGTATACCAGAGATGTAATTAGCAATTTTTGTGCCCTAGGCAGAGATACTGGAGAAGAGGATGGAATGCAGGAGCCAAGTAAAGGTCGTTGCCATAAGAGTCTTACCTGACCCTGGAGAATCAAAGATTCTAGCTAGTGGCTAGTGCTTCCATGATGTGGGCTCCCTGCATATCAGCTGCTGCTGCTACAGGGTAGGTCACTTTTCTGGCAACCTCTCTAAATTGGCACCCAGGGCTGGTGCTCTGCTTAGACACCTTTAGTCACGCTACTGGAATATACATATGGTTCATTTCTCTTTTTTTACTGGTAAGAAATAAAGTGGCCTGACTTTGCAGAGCTGTGTGTTCTTAAAATCTGGGATCCTTTTCTTACCAGCCATCTTTACAGAAACACAGTTGGTGCATCTACATGTGCACATAATGTGATGCAATACATTCTGGAGCAGTTCATGCTGGAGTCAACTGTTTCTGGTTGCAGCATCTACACATGCAACCAGGACAGCAGCAATTTGATCCAGGATGAAGCAGGCCCCTGACTGGCTGGGCTGACTGGGTGCAATGTACACCTTCATTCACCATTTACATGTACATTTTGGTGCAGTCATTAGGCCTGTGTGAAGCAGCTAGTATTTGCTTCAAATTCAGATTTGGCCGATTTGGGGGACAGCGATTCAATTGGGTGATTTGAATCACTGTCCCAAATCAATTTGGCTGCTGACAAGTTAGCTGAATCGTTGAATCACACAGGCCCCGTCCCCTGCCCACTCTTAATGGCTGCCCTGCATGCCCCAGGTTCCAGGTCCCAGCTCCTTGAAAAAATAAAGCCCTGGCTCACTGGCTCCTGCTGGGTGGGGGGGTGCTGCCCCCCACTGCCTCACGCCATGTGGGAGGCTCGGCCACAAGCCCCACAACCCCCACCCACTCCCCCAGCTCCCCCATGGCTGCCTCACCCAGCCCAGCTCCAGCCCTTTAAAAATACCCCCAAACCCACTCACTCACTGGCTCCTGCCCAGCAGGGAGCATTCCCCGCTGCCCCATGACACATGGGGGGCTCTGCAAAAGCCTCCCAAAGCCCCAAGGCTGCTGCAGGAGCCGGTGAGTCCAGTGGGAGGGTTTTTTTTTTTTCTTAAAGGGCTGGGAGCTGGGGTGGGTGGGGCAGCCATGGGAGGGGCTGGGGAAGCAAGCGTGGCTTTTTTTTAAAGGGCCAGGAGCTGGGGCTAGGCCAGGCAGCCATGGGGGGGTGGGGGCTGGGGGAGCGGGTGGAGGTTGGAGGGGCTGGGGGAGCAGGCAGGGGACAGGGCCTGGCCCCCTCCCCTCTTCTTTATCCCCCCTCCTCACCCAGCCCCTACTTACCAGCTCGGAGTCTGGGTCCAGCTCCTTGCTGCAGCAGGTGGGGACTGCCCAAATTGCCAAAGCTCTCCAAATCTTTTCTGAATAGATTCGGAGAGCTTCAAATTGATTCAGACCTTTTAATTGATCCCCAATTTGATTCAGAGATTTAACCACCGAATCAGGCCGAATATCCTCCGAATCGAATCAGTACCCAAAGCTTCACACAGTCTTATCCGTCATGAGATAGTACTGTCCCCAACAGTATCCTCTGGTGGAATTAATTAGTTTGCTGCACCCTAATACTGGTGCATGTTTAGACTGTGATGCTTTACTGCAGAGCTAATTAGTCTATTCTGCAGTAAAGTGTATGTGTAGCTGTACCCAGTAGATTTAAAAATATGTTGACACTTGCTTCAATGAAAAGTGAGTACAAATTGGTGTAAACTGGTGCCATTTTGATTTGATAGCTTTTTCTGGACAGACTGCTCAGGTGTAAAAGAAGATAACAGGTGAGGGGTAACAGAAAAATCAGGGCCTGTGGTAGCAAATGAAGGTGCTTACATGCAGCAACCACATGCCCAAGGATTAAAAGAACAAACAAACTAAAAAACCAAAAACCAAAACCAAAACACAGTTTTGTTGCTATGCAACTGAATTTATCATCATTAGATAAATGTTTGGTCTGAGGGCCACAGGTTGAAAACCACTGGATTAGGCTACTGAACTAAAAGGTCCTTTAGTCATTGGTTTCCTCTAACTAGAATTCAGTACCCGGCTTTATGAACATACATGGGCAACTCTATTTTTCCTGGGAAGCTGCCTGGCTGGTGCACTGTCCTATAGAGCATGCTCAGTAGGCTAGAGGGCAATGTTGAACGTCAAACTATGCGTAAGAGCCAAAACCTACAGAAACAGCTATATGTGTACTACTTAGACATGGGAAGGGTAAATTGTATCTGGCCCTTAGTTGCTCTATGCCTCAATTACTTATCTAGAAAATGGGATCTCTTCTTCCATTCATAGGATTTCTACAAAGATATAGTAATAATAATATTACTTATAATACTTATATTAATTATTGTATATATCAATAATGAAGGTGTACTGAGATACTAAGATGATATGGACCATATTACTACCCTAGAGAAAACAGTGAACTTCAGTTGACTTCAGTGGCAAAAACAGGCCCTAAAAGTATGCATATTTATGTAATTTTATTTTAAATTTTGATTCAAATACACGGACAAAAAATAACTTCCATATTAGTGGAAAGGACAATATTGGTTTAGGAAAAAAAAAGTCACAGTGTGACTGCAGACTGCAATGGAAGCAATTATGTGATACTGACAACATATCTGTTCAGTTCCATTTATTTTGGAAATTTGAGAGGCCTGCCAAACCTTTTTGTTGTGACGTCTTGGCTGACATTGCTGCTGTAGTTCACACCAACAATGTAGCATTTTGTTATTCTTCAAAACACCACATTATCTGATTTAGATGAGAAACCGGTGTCAAATTACTCTGTGTTAGTTTATAAACATACTTCTGTCTGCAAAACTCATTAGCTTGCTGCCAAGTGGCAGAGTTTACTAACCTACTATTGAGATGGGTGGGAGGTCTGGGAGATTCATTTTGTTGCTGTTTGCCAGACTCTGTTCTGTGTTCTCCTCAATTGCCATATGAGAATAGGTAGTTGTCAGCAAAATGTAGCAGAGAAGAAAGCCAAAGAGGAGGTTCTTACTTTCCATCCTGAGGAGAAAAAAAATCCATTTTCATGAACACCAGAATCAGTTGCAAACTAGTATATTCACATGAAGGAGAAAGAAGGATCTCAGAAATGATTTGTTATAGAGTGATGCAATTTCACTGATATGCCTCAAACACATCTTTTTACTTGCAATATTTTGGTTCTACTACTGGAATGAGTAGCTGGAAAATGAGACTTTTTCAACAATCAATTTTATTTTCTGAATTTTCCACCCCCTAAATGTTAAAGTTTAGCCTGTTGGGTTTTGTTTGAACTGTTTTGGGGGCAGGGGCTTACTATTGACATCTTAACTGGTAAGCTTAGCCTTAGATGAGGAAGGATTGAAAGTGTTAGAACTGTTCAGTTCAGAATTTGAAAGAAAGGGATTGAAGATCTGTCTACTAAGCTTCTTTGAACGGTTTTTAGTGTTACTGTTAGGCACAATGATAGATCCTATCTGAAGGGCCGGTTTAACACATAGGCAAACGATGGCATAGGCCTAGGCCCTGAGCTGTGCGGGCCCCGGTCCTTCCCTCCATGGCGGCAGTGTGAATAGCCCCATCCATCTCCCTTCCTTTGCCTTCCCCTCCCTTCCATTGGCCTCACCACTGAGGTGGCTGCTTCCTAGCAGGGGCTCTGAGCCCCACTCCCTGTGGGCGGTAGCACCAGGGTGAGGTGGAGGGGTCTCAACTAGCCCGGAGCCCATGAGTTTGTTTGCCTAGGGCCCACTAAAGGCTTAATCTGACCCTGCCTATCTGTGCAGTGTGACTAAAGCTCCATTTGGCAGCTGCTGACAATCCAATAAGAATAAAAGGGGAAATGTCTTTGTAGGAGTATTTGTACGGGAACATAGACATGGTCAGATCTGCTGATGGGTAGCTAGGATAGATGAACTGCAGGTGAGCAGCTGTCTGAACAGGAACATGTAGGATTTCCCAGACAAACTGAAAAGGAACAAAGAGCTTTCCAGGGAAGCAAATGCTATCCACCACTGCTCTTTCATTTGAATGAAGAACAAAGCAATGAAATAGAATTCTCCCCTCTAAGATACATAAGTGGTATTTATAGAGTTTTTAGGTATCTAAGGGAGTCTGAGATGCTGACTGTGCAGTAGCTGAAAAATACTGAGCAGTAACGTGCCACAGCACGGACAGTGCTAATACGCTACTGTGCAGTATGATTAGGCTACTGTGCACTAACGTTACCTAAAATACGTTAGCCAGTGCTACTGCACATTTATTTAATGCTTTTTAATATAAGTACTAAATAAATGCACAGTAACAACTGCACAGTAGCATCTCATGCAGGCACCCTGTGTCACCCAAATCAAGGTTTTCCTTGTCTGGGACAAGTGCTCCAATCACTAAATTTTTGGGATCCCTATGCTGCTGGCTCTGGTGAAGGAAGTGCTGCTAAGACATGCATGCCTTATGCTGTTGGAGAGAAGTAGAATTATAATCAGACAAATGCATCTTGGCACAAGTTAAAATTCCCCACTGAAATGAAGGGAGAGCCAGGAACCTTCTGTGTAACAGAAGAGCTGATTCTGGAGGTATCTCAATGCTGCTCATTGAAATGAATGGGAGAGCTGTTTGGCTCTGCAAGGCAAAGTTGAATTAAACTCTGGGTTGCATAACCTGTGTACTTGCTCCCCATTGAAAATATAGGGGAACTATGCATCTGCCCAGGAGACCTGTGAGGAGTACTTTAGAAAACCACTATATTGTCAACCTTTTTACTTTAAAAAACAATAATAAAAATCACCCTCAAATTTACATGTGAGGTAGTTCTGTAATCACAACAAAGCAGTCCTACTGGATGGAATAGATGACCTTGCACAGCATCCTTAAGAATCACAATGGCTGGTCTTGTGGCAGTGGAGCATATGACCCTTCATGACTGGCTCTTAAGGATACTGCCCAGGGTCATCTGCTCCTTCATGGAAGTAGTAGGGTAGGGAAGGGACACATTAGTCCAGATCAACACTACCTTGCTGTTCCCCTTGCTGTTCCCTCAACTGAAGTGGGAGGCAGGCATTAATCCTATATCATGAAGGTAGAAGCTCAGAAACTCTTAAGAGATGTGTTTCAAGTCAAGGCTTCTAGATCCCTGGTTCCACTGCAGAAAGCAGGAAACTGGGAAACCTTGGTGGTTTGGGGGCAGTCCATGTGGCAGGTTATCACAGGAACTGGCAGAAAACCCTCCTGGAGTCTTGTTTGGGCTTCACTGGAAATTGGTCAAACCAGTAATGAAACACTTTTTGATTCAACAAATTAGCATTTTCCAGCAAAACAAAACAAGTAATAAAATTCTTATAAAACCACCCACTTTCTCCTACCCCACATCTAAAGTAAGAAAAATTTGGATTTTGAATTTCCAAAACCAGTGTTATATGGATTCACAGTTTTGGTGCTACAGGTCAATAAGACTTGAATTCACAAGTCCAATTCAAATCTGAGTTTTTAATATGTGTAAACAGTTTACATTTGATTACAAATAATTAGTTTAATATGTATTGACAAGAAATTTTAGGCTGAAGACAACAAAGATACACCTTGATCAAAATGATTTGATACAGAAATATTATTTCTATTTTAATATTTTTAACGTGTTTACCCCTAATCATCCTTTCCCTGATTGTTTGATTCTCTCACAGGATTTTGTTAAGGGCAATAACAGCTTAAGGTCTTTACCTATAGTTATTGACTTGCACTTGGGGGAAAAAAAGATTTTCTTCCTAAATTGAACCTGAAAATGTAGGGCCAATGTATAATTGGAACAATATGGTAGTTTCCTGAAACTGAGTGTATTTGATTTATCAGTTGATTAATTGTTTTTGACTGATAGTGAAATGTGGAAATCAAATCAAAAGTCCTTTTTCAGGGCTTCAATTCCCTCTATCACTTGATTTAATTTTTGACAAGTGAAGCAGTAGTTCTCCTTAGATTGAACCCAAAAAGTAATCAATCAAAATAAAATCAAACCTTGGAAAAGCTTGCTTCCTCCATAAGCATCAGCCCCTCCCTTGCTGCCTTCCAAGATTCTGCATACATCCTAATGCTACCTTCTGCATGGCTGCCACCCAGGGTGCTCAAGTGCCCAGTTACACCTCTGCTTCTGGTTCATCAAGGCTAGTCCCCTTACCTGAAGCAGCAACGTCCTGTAATCTCTTTCATGAACTGATCAATCTCCATTTTAAAATAAGCTAGGTGACAGTGGCTGGAGACTAAGTTCAGGAGGGTATAAGAACTGAAACTGAATACTGCATAACATTGCAAAATGAAGAGCAATACAGTAGATGGTAGGAAAGCTCTTTGTACCCTGTTCCCATGTGTGAAACCACAAACATCAGTCCCAGGCATGGCTAGCTCAGCTACTTGGTAGCAGCCTTCATGAGCTGAACTACCATGTACATTCCAAACTGGAATGCTCTCCCAGGCTTTTATTCCACTGTAGTCTCCAATCCACAAATCTTTTCTAAAATTCTACTGCACCAACCTTGCTTATAATAAGTCACTTGCTGTTATGTAATACTGCTGATATATACCAAAGAAAGAATCAAAATGTGGAGGGACTACAGCAGAGTCACTGTATGCATTTGACACAGAAACTGTTGGTTTTCTTAGTCCTATTTATTAGGTGTTTGTTGCTCTTGGACAAATTATCTGCATTGAATGGAATCTAGTCTTATTTGTTTTGGAATGTGCTGAGGACCATTTTTGATGCTGTTCAGTGTCAATAATAAATACAAATTATAAAGCATTTTTGTAAAACTGTAAGAATAAGAGGCTTACAAACCTCACATACTGTATTAATTAAATCCTTTCCTAGCAGTAATAATAATAATACTGCTCCTCCCATTCCATTGGGAGGAGCAGTAAACTACGGAATGGTAGCTTTTGCAAGCAATACATGGACAAAGGCTAAGCCCTGGCTAGGTTTAGTGCCATCCATAACTCATTCAAGGTATTTCATAGATTCATAGATGTTAGGGCCAGAAGGGACCTCAATAGATCATCGAGTCTGACCCCCTGCATAGGCAGGAAAGAGGGCTTGGGTCAGATGGA